CAGTGCTTATTCATAAAGAGCCACTGGATTGATGGTGCACTAGAGATCGACCATTGTGGTTCTGCATTTAGTGAAACGGTCTACTTCTGTGTGAGCCAGGTTCTATTTTCTCCAATATCCAGAGTTGAGAAGTTCTTTTGAATGACGTAGTGGACCTGGAACAGTTGATGTGCAGAACGCCAACATTTCAGCTCTGTCTTACTTCACTGATTGCCTTGTGAATCCCTGATGGGTTCCGCTTCGAACATAATCATTTCCCTAACATGGGATAATTTGATTCTATTACTCTAACAACAGCGCAAACAAATTGCCTACGTAATTTATTGTGCCAATAATAGCAAAAACAGATGTGGTAATGGTACTGTGGCTTTCCACCCCCAAATTTATATGGACTTAAACCAAACTGGATATAATCATTAAGATACATTTATGAACATGTGGCCTCACGTTTACTTAGGGCATTTTCTGTGTCCAAACATGCATAATTATGGTTTGGCAAAGTGGTGATCTTCAGCCTCTGTTTCTTAATTCTCACACCCACACAGCTCCAGGTCTTTTTCCAAACACCCCCCACCTCAACTTCCCCTGAGCCTTTTCCACAGCTTTCTCTCTGCTTATCAGGGTGATTTCCTGTGAGGAGGTTCGAGACACAAACAACACCCGTGCAGCTTAGCTCTTCAGCAATATTATCTTTACGAATACTGCATTTCACTCCTCTACAGTATCTCACCGGCCCTCCCCTGTAAGCTCTACCCCTCCATTCACTGGTGTTCCATATGCCCTCTGAAGCCCTCTGCTCTGTCCCATTTCTCCCATTGCCTCGGGTCCTTTTTGACACCCCTGGAATGTTAATGGGCCAATCAGAGACACTGTCCTTGAAAATCTCACTTTGGCTCATTTTCATACCCCCCCCCAACCCTCCCCACCTCTCAGATTTATAACCTCAGCTGCTTACAGCTCCAGATGTTTTGTTCTGGTTTTTACTCTCTGTAATTGCTAATTCAATCTGGTTGTAAAGGAGCAGATGCTCTCAGGACTTGAGCATACCTGTGTGGGTTTCACTGTGTGTATGTATATGTGTTCTCGCCCATGTACAAAGCAACAGGATTTACTGTAACACCCTGACTCATAAACATAAGCCTTCACAATTACACCTAGCTCATTTGCTCATGTAGGGGAATAAGACAACAGCAGTTGTTTTTTTTTACTTGCAAAGAAATGCACACTGGCATCAACTTCCATTATACACTGAATTACTGTCAGCCTTAAATCACCGCTGGTGAGATTTAGCTGTACTGACAGTTGGCTTTGGAGGTCTAAACTGTGGTGGGAGCCTCTCTCATCAGCCTCCTCACATTTTTTTTATCATCTTCCATCCTTTTTCTCACCAGGGAAAGTGGCAATCCAGTCCAGTTTAGAGAGAAAAATAAACAGACTGGTTATCCACAGGAATGTGAATGCTACTTTAGTCCCATTAGGAACATCTGTGTGTGTGGTTTGAGATCACAGCGGGTTGTCTCAGCGACTTTGAACATCTGACAAGTGGCTTCATTGTTTTAGCATATTCAGTACCTACATACTGTGCCAGATACGCTCTGTACACTTGCACACATATCTATGCGGTGCACACATATTTACAACACATTTACATGAAAGCGTACACACACAAACACAAACACACACACACAACACACACATCAGTGCTTGCTCACATGCCCACACACACGCACACCACAGAGGACCTGTCATGTGTCATGGAGACAGGGGTCAGATACTGTGTGATGTGTGTGGGGGTTATATCGCTTGGGAAAAGGACTAAAGATCTCACCGGGGCTGCAAGAGGGCCAACAATAACAGCCTGAAATATAACAGCAGTGAAAGACTCTTCGCACTGACAGGAGGAAAGCTGGGCCCCAGCCAGTGACTCCACAGATCAGAACCTCTTCTGTGGGCACAAAGATGGGCGGGATCGTTAATTCATAGCTAATGTGCAAAACAAAGAACATTGTTTTCTAATGACATTGTAAAACTGCAAATAAAAAAAGCACAGTGTGTTGCGAGAGATTGGAAGCACATGTTTCGAGAGAAAGAATAATAGCAGAGTTGTAGAAGCAGTGTCTTTTTTGTTAACATTCCCAAGTTGAGATGATGTTCTGACCACATTTGTCATGGGAACTTCAGCCATGTAAACACAGCCTCGACCCCCAGTGATCGCACTGACTGACACACACACACACACACACACACACACACACACACACACACACACACACACATGTGCACAGACACTGAACATACTCACCCCTGTACAACAATCAGCAGTCTCCAGCACCAGAAAAGTCAGAGTGCCCCCTAGTGATGCCTGTGTTACAATTACAGCATGTTTATCTGGCTTAGTTTTTCATCTCCTGCAACTCAAAAGTTGTTAGTGACAACTTGGTCTCTGTAGACCAAACTGATGATCAACTGAAGAGAAAGATGATGAATGGAACATGGTTATAAAATATGAAATATCAAGGAAAGGCTTCCATATCCAAAGAACGAATATGGGTCTACAAGATTTCTTACAGGGAATGTTTTTGCCTCTAAAACTTGGGAAAAAAAGAAAAAAAAATCTCCAAAGACTGCTTTGACAGCACAATTTAACTGCATAAATATTGTTTGAGATCATATTTCTCCAATTAGGTTCTCTGCCAGCCCAGTTGTTTTTTTCCCTTGACTGCATTGCACTGTACTGTATTTAAAACAAAACGCACATACACATGCATACAGACTCACACCCGCACACACACACTCACATGTACCCTATACATCACTGTACAGAATTCTGATCTTTAAGGACACGGGGGTTTTCAATCAAAGCTTTGATTGAATACTTTGCCATCCTCAGCACTCGCACACTCACAAATACACACACATTGTTGACAGAGAGTGTCTTGAGCAACATCATTTACCACTTAGGCCCCTCCCCGAGGACCGTGCCATTCTTAATGCGTGGCAGATAGGTTGATAGTTCTGGTTTCTGTCGAGAAGTGCATGTCAATCAACAGCTCGCGTCAACGTCACTGAGGCAAAGTGTTTCTGAAAGATCTTTTTACTGAGTGCCTTTCTATCCATCCTCTCTTCCAACCCACACACACTCACACATGCACAAACACACACACAAACACAAACACACACACACTCACACATGCACAAACACACACACACACACGCACACACACACACACACACACACACACACACACACACACACACACACACACACACAGCCATTTCCATCTCAGCAATCACTTCTCCTAGAGTTCTCCTCTTTGGACGTGTAACAGTAATTGAGGTTGCTCCCTTGGGTGCAGTGCATTCTGGGCCGTTAAGTGCTGTTTCTTGTTGTTTTTTTCTCAAATGGGTTGTATTTTGGCTATTGTGTTGTTTCTTCCTGCTCTCCTATAGAAGTGTAAGCAGTGGGCCATATTTACACGTATCATTAGAGAATAGAAACCCTGTCAGATGTAGGGCATCCGAGGGCTTATCTTGCCCACTGGAATATCAATCAATACGACAAAGAGTCTTAATACTTTTTGAATACGCCCGGTTGCGGGAGAATCAACAGCACATTTCAGGGCAGATAAAATGACCTCTGAAAGTCATTTAATTCTTCCTTTGTTAAAATCAACCATAGAGTACCAGTTTATCTTACTCATAAGACAACTGTGTCAATATTTGAGATGACACTCTGTCAGTCAAGGATGTTCACTTGCTACGCTGACCTCCCTGCTCACCACAGCAGGCCTGGCTTGAGTACACCCTGTGACCTTTCTGCACGTTGATGACGTTGTCTGTCCAGAAGAGGGAGGGATTGATCTGGATTGACACAAACAGCCAGTGCCCTGCCTGGCCTGTCACACAGCATCACTGGGTCATTGTAGCATGCCTGAATGCCAGATGAGGAGGGATGGAGAACACACAGGGTGGTGACCTGCTGACGATCATGTAGGCCACAGATTTTGGGGAAGCTTGAAAACATTTGGACAAAAAAGGTTTTACAATAGAAGGCAATGCACAGTGTGAGGTGAAAGTCAAAGCATGTCACTTGAAAATAGATTCAAGTGAACAATTGAGAATAAACTGTTATAGAAATGGCTGTACTTGATTAAATGGCCCAACCAATGCTAGATTTTTAAGGCAGATACAAAAACATAACATTACATTAAAAAAACATATTGTACACAAAATTTAAACAATTGATTTGAGTATGTAAGCATTTGAGTATTTTGAGTACTTGAATCAAGGAAGGCAGTATTCAACCTATAAACTTTTCAGTGATGTGGTGAATAAACTATGTAATGTCATTACCATTTCAAAACTATCCCTAACATGTCTTTTTAAATTTCTGTACAGCAATGCCTTACTTATTAGCCCACGTTTATACCTATCCCAATATACCTGCGATTAGACAATATAGGCCTGGCCAATTTATCAATATACTCTGCTGGGTACATGGTCTCCTCATGCATCATCGCTGTGCTTATAAACCATAATGCTTATTCTGACTGATCAAGAGCTAAAGGAAACCACTTTTTCACTGCATCTTGGCCTAAAGACAAATTATTGCAGGTTGCAATTATTATTGTTAATTAACATTATTAATTATTGGGATTATTTAAGATTCTTTAATCATTAAAATTTACATTTTGTCTATTTCAACGGATCCCCAGGGGTCCTTGATGGGATTCCGGGGGGTCTTCAGAAAAACGAACAGTTTAATCTCACTGTTCCTCTGGCAAGGGGTTTTTCCATGCACCATAATCGGTGTACCGGGTTAACAGCAGTTCTTTATACATGTAAAAATGTTAATGTACTTTCAGTTGCAATGGTGGCGCCTGAACACCACTTAGAAACTACAATTCCAGTGCTGCTTTACGCAGTTTGGGTGACGTTACAGGGGCATTTCCCGTAGTAACCTTTCCTGTCTGCCCGCTGGTGCGTTTGCGCCTCCTGCCTTGAGAGAGAGGTGAAGAAGAGTTTACTTTACGGAGTTCAAGGTTTGGTTTCGGTGTACGTCTGGAGTAGAGGGTTTTGCCGAGGCAGAAAGCCCCTTTTCACAGAGCCAAGATGCTGAACATGTGGAAGGTTAGGGAGCTGGTTGACAAAGCGTGAGTATCTCCCAACTATATTTCGTTTGTTTCGTGTTATTTGTGCCTGTAGTTTACCTGTTTGAAGAGACACGTACCCAAAAGTTTGACGTCACGTCACTCTAACAAGTTAGCTAGCCCGAATGCTTCTAGCGAGTTAGTGAGCTGACTTTGACAAATACTATTTATCTTTAAGTATGAGTACCCGTTTTTGTCACAGTTTCTTTGTTTGGTCGTTCGGCTAGCTTGAAATAGCGTATACAATGTTATGAGATCACTTAACGCGTTGTTTATGCGTTTTCTCCGACAGTGCAAGCTAACTCATGTAGCTAACAAGCTAATTATCTAGCCCGCTGGCTAGGTAGCTTTAGCCGACTAGGCTAGCCAGCTAAGCTAGTTTGACAGCTCCTGGACTGAACAATCAGGAGGGAGTGTTTAAACGTTATAGCTTAATGCATACATTGTTTTACCGTCGGCTGTCTACCACTGCCTGGAAATATTTTTAAGAGTGTAGAAATGTGTTACTCTGCAGCACGACTATTGTGACACTTGTAGCTAAGTTTCACTCACCGTTACAGTAGTTATACTATAAGTTATGTCAGTTGGTAAACTTCATACCACATGGCTGGATTACTGTTTGTCGTCTTAACTGTCAAATTGTTATGTTTGTCTTACACCCTGGCTGCTTGCAAAGTGGAACTAGTCAGACAACATAATCTTAGACCCTAAATGTTATCCCAAAATAAAACACTAGGACATAAAGACTGCTTTTATAACGACTTCCTTTAACGACTGTGGCAGCAAAAGAGTCGTTAATTCAGTCTACAATATATGCATAATTTTTAACCAACAGTCTTTTTAGTGATGTTGTATCACTATATATCACTACAAATGGTAAGCTGTTACTGAATTGTGATATATAACACCAAACAACAACGAGATAAACAGCAGAGGCTTATTAATCAGTGACCAGTGATCCAGCAGTGTTATGCAACGTGTTGGTGCAAGAATTTGAAGTTAAACTTGACATGTCAGGAACTGTTTACCTTTCCACCAGGTTTTGAATAAATGATAATTGTCAGGCAAAATGTAAAGAAAGTGATTGGAAAAAAAACAAAAAAACAACACATATGTACACTTGGTAGTTTTTGGACTTATGATGAGTGTTTGTATAGTCTGATGGCAGTGTCACTCCAAGTCTGCATGGCGAGTAATTCAGTACCTGAACATGGGCAACACCTTGTGTATTGTGCGTCTTTTGTTCTGCTTTGCACTCAGGTTAACATTTAGCTGCTGACTAAACGTGAACACGTCCTGTACTGTAGAGCTGTGGCAGGTTATTGCACAATATTTCCTCCCTTCTAATGTTTAATGGCTAATTTTGCAGACCAACACAATGGCCTTTTCTTAAGTCTATCCAAGAATACATTCCTGCTGAACGCACTTGTCTCATGTCCCTGGAGGTAACACTCCAGGGACATGAGAGACAGAGAGGGGGACAGACCTATAGAGAGAAATAGAGTAAGGTGTGAGTTTCAAAGATTAAAGGAAAGGGAGTGTCCATGTTCATTTCCCTCGCTGTGTCTTTGAAATTGTCTGTGATAAAAGAGCTTCTATTTTTAGACATTCTGAAATGGTCACTTTTTTGTATAGACAAATCAAAATAATTTTCACAAAATGTCACCAAACAGTGAGTCTTTTGCACAGACTGTGGGGTATAATGCAACACTTCCTGTTGTATGATTAAGCTGAGGTTTTTGCTAAGGTAGGACATACAAGCAAATGTTTTATCTTGTTTTAAATAGGTACTGCAATGAATGAAAGCAACATGTATTGTATGTAGAATAAAATACAATTCGGTTCATGAGCTGAAATGCAAGGGGAATGTTTTGACAGACTGTTGAAGTGCTGTATCTAACAGAAATCTGTGTGGTAGTGTGTCACGGTGAGAGAGTACAACAGCTTCCGTTTTATCTGGCAGATAACTGGGACGGGAGCTACCACTGTGAAGAGTTGAGATGCTGCATCACTACATCATATCCTCTGTGTTTGACTGTCATTCATGCAAACATCGTGCAGTGTCCCTAACATTGCCAGAGGATATATGCTAGCTTAATGTCTCTCTGGAATCTCTCAGTGCACACAGTTACTGTAACCCATGGTCCAATTCACAAGCTGGTTTGAATCTGTTGTAAAAAAAAAAAAAAAAAAAAAAAGCAATTGGCATGGTCATTTTCAAATACTTTTGATGGCATAGACCACATTTTACAAAAGAGAGTATGCTGTCAGAGTGGTAGCCATACCATGCAGCTTGCAGTAGTAATAGAGCCCTTTTCCAGAACCACAGAGAGGGTGTACCTCTGTTAACCCTACCATCAAATCAATGTTGCTCTTCCAGGCCCTGTACATTGTATTGCTGATGTGGCAGTAGTGAGGGAGGGATGAGGAGCTGCAGGTTTCACGTGTATTGCCTTGCCATATTTTGGCTAAATCTGTGACAGGACCTACTTAACGTGCCACAGAAAAATGGCAAGTGACAGCACTCTTAGGGCAAATCATTGAAAGTGAAGTGGATACACTGGTATCCATGCACCAGCCATAGTAAAAAAAAATGGCTAGATGACCATTTTATCCAGTCATTGCTGAATATATGTCATATAAGATATTCATTACATTTCTATGCACAGTCATGAAGACCAATTGAAATTCAGAATCTCCTCTACAAAGTCCTTGCAAGTGACATTAAATAGTTGATGTAAACAGACCATAATGCTTCAGAAATTGGTCTATATCCTGTATGTTTCTAGAATATTCTCTGCTTGGAAATTCCTTTCTTCTTCTTAATACCTTTTATTGTGCAGACTGGATATTAGAAGGAGGTTAGTTTTCTGTCTTGCAATAAGTTCGTTGTGACAGCATGTGTGAGGACATACTGAAAACCTACTAACAGAAACTGCCACAAGTTTTTGTAATCTGATTGAATAGATAAAAATTGGTTCGCCTCTGTTCGTTGTTTAATCATCATGACTCTGAATTTTCACAGGCTGCCAAATTTGCCTTGTTGAGTAGATGGTGTGCAGTACATGGCTGTTTGCTGTTTTTTTTGTTTTTTTTACATTAACCCTTATGAAGTATAGAAGTTTAGTGCTTTAGAAAAACAAACTCTGTCAACCTGAGATTATTTAACAGCTACCATTTATAGTGTCGGTTTCTTCTCATTTGATGTTCCTTTTTCTTTTGTAGTCAGTCTCTCAGAATGTTAACAGGCAAGAGCTCACCCACAGCAAGCACACCACTGTTTCACTGAGCCATTTTTATGCCTCATTTATGTGTTGATATTGGACACAGATTTGCATTGGCTTGTTTAGTCCCTTGTTTTTGGTTTTGACACTCAGAGCACACAGAAGCACTCCCTGTTGTCCTTTTAGCCTCTAAATGGACAAGTGAATGGGTGTGGCTATAATGAGAGAACCTTTTATCTATTATCGTCCATGTTGTTGGTCTCAGCAGAGGCCAGATATTTTGAACTGAACTGGCAAATGCCACATAGAATACTTAACTTAGGATGGTTTGTAAATTGATGTTTGTTGGGGTTTTTTTTTTTATTCTACTGTATAGAACCAACGTGGTGATGAACTACTCTGAAGTGGAGTCGAAAGTCAGAGAGGCCACCAATGATGACCCCTGGGGACCATCAGGACAGCTGATGAGTGAAATCTCAAGGTAAGGACAACACACAGTTTTATAGAACATGTCCGTCTGAAAAGCACCAAGGTTATTTGTAAATAACATAAAACCGCAGAGATGTTATTTTAAAGTCCCTTTCCATTCAAGGAACTTTTCCAGGAACATTTTCTGGAGGTCAGGAAATTCACCTACTTTTTTACTATAGTAACCTATTTGAAGTTTTGGTTCTTGGGCCCTGCCCACAAACGTCCCTGTTTCCATGGTGGTATTTTTCTTCCTGCCAGAACACAACTGTATTACAGTTTGCAGTACTGAAAACAAGCCTCACAGCTGTTACAACATGTGGACAACATTCATACAAAATGCTGAAAGCACTGGTTTGTGTATTAGTATTCGGACTGAGATGAGAACTGTCTGTTGTTGTTGACATTTAACAATAATTATGTAGCCAACTAGAGACAGAGAAACTTACCTTGGTAATAGTTTCCTTGTGGTTATATACTAAAAGCAGACAAGGAGGCTGACAAAACCATGAGAAGATCTTTGCTAATTTGAAAATTGTCCTGACCTTCAGTTGTTTTTTTCAGACTCTCTTTGCTGCACATCTCTTTTCCTAAATTAATTTAGTTCAATTACAGTTGCACAGCAGTAAATTACAAAGAACAAGACAATGACCTAAACCTCCTCCAAATTTACAGTGTTGCTGTCTTGTTCCATACAAACTGACATATGAATGGATATCACTTTGCCTATTCCACGCAGTTCTTGGGTTGCAGTGGATTCACAAACACCTATACGCTAAAGGAACCTGTAGTTCCTGAAATACTTCCTTAGTTTAGTTCACCAGGCTCTGTAGTTCCAGGGAGTCTTGTCAAAGGCTGCAAAATGACTAACTAATTAAAACATGTCAGTAAAAAGACAATGTCTCCCCTTTCTCTTTCTTGTATTCTTGTGTAATCAGAGCCACCTTCATGTATGAGCAGTTTCCAGAGGTGATGAACATGCTGTGGGGCCGTATGTTGAGAGACAACAAGAAGAACTGGAGGAGAGTCTATAAGGTCTGCCACTCTTTTGTACAGTTAAAGCATAGCAAAAACAAACATGCTTAATTATGACATGAGGCACGGAGGCCTAAGCACTAAGTCCAGTTTTGATTATGCTTGAATTTGGGACCAGACCTATCTTGATCCAAGGTGGATTTGGTTTAAACAAAACTCATACTGAAACCTATTTAAAATGAGTTAAATAACCTATTCACTTTCATTTCAAATTTTCTGCTTGTTACTTACAGGCAGGTATCAAGTATCAACAAAAAACTCTAATAAAAAACTAGGTGAAGAGGGGTGTTTTAATTGAAATTATGTCTTTTTGATCATTCACAAAACAAAGACAGTTGCCCTTGAATAGAAACTGTTAAGATGCCTCACATTATTTAACGTGTTCTGAATTGAGGCTAAACACTTCTGACAAATAACATCATGCCCATAAGCCAATGGGTGGAGAAATCACAGCTTGAGTACATTTGATTGTGTTCAACAATATCCAAGTTTTATTTTTTATAAAATTAAAGCTTAAGAAATATTTGCCACAACTTATATCTTGTGTCTTCTTCTCAGTCTCTACTACTGCTGGCTCATCTAATCAGGAATGGATCAGAGAGAGTTGTTACCAGTGCCAGAGAACATCTGTATGACCTGAGATCATTAGAAAGCTACCACTTTGTAGGTAAGGTATTGTTTTAGCCTCTGTATCTTTTCTCTCCTTTACACCATCTCTTTCTTCACATGTTGGAGGTGTGGTACACACACACAGACTTGCCAAATAAAACACTCATGATTCATCATTGAATTGTTTTTGTTGAGTTTTTTTTTTTTTTCAAATTGATTAAGTGAGGTTTTCTACACAAGGTTAAAAACAATAGCTTCAGTGTGGGCTGTAATGAATGGATGAAGGCCCTAAGCTCTACTTATTCCACAAACCCTTAAACCACACACACACATGCAAGCTGCCTTAAAGCTGCTTTCACTCTTCCCAACCATGTGTGTATAGAAGTTGCTGTTTACAAGGAGGAACATTCAGCTTTCCTCATACAGAGATATTTATCATCTGTGTGCGTCATTTCAGCACATTGTAAAGTTAATACAAAAAGTTGCTAAATCATATTTTATATTCATTTCTGAGTTTCTGTGTCTCCACATCTGTCCCAAGATGAGAATGGGAAGGACCAGGGTGTGAATGTGCGTCACAAGGTGAAGGAGATGGTGGAGTTTGTCCAGGACGATGACAGGCTTAGGGAGGAACGGAAAAAGGCAAAGAAGATCAAAGACAAATACATCGGGGTGTCCTCTGACAGTATGGGATACCGAAGTTACTGTAAGTCCTCATTTGACCGAGTAATATAAACAGAATGATAATTAACAAAAACCTTTTTTAATTAAATTCACATCCTCTTTGTCTTGCTTCTATCTATTCTCTCTCTCTTATCCCCCTACTTAAATTCCTTCCTTCCAGCGGGGGACAGGTATGACTCCAGTGACAGCCGGGGAAAGTGGGACGATGAGTGGGACGCAAATAAAGGGCAGTTCCCCTTCAGCGAGAAGTTGGGAGAGATCAGCGACAAAATCGGAAGCACCATTGACGATACCATCAGCAGATTTAGGAAGAAGGAGAGAGACGACTCACCAGATCGATTTAGGTAGGAGACAGACGAGTCAGCATAGTAATAGTAATAGTAATATTAGTAATAGTAATTTATTGCTATATTAAATTTAAAGGCACAAACCATGTTCCAAATATAAACAAAAGAGAAGCCCCCACCACTAAAAGTCAAAAATTAGAAAAAATTACACTAGGTATCACTTCCAATCTGATTGAGTTTTTCAATACAGGACCACTTGTGAATAGCAAATGAGCCTTTATTTTCAATTATGATCACATTAGAAAAACACAAAATGCCTTTTAAATCCACAAGTCAAAATTATACTGTGAATGTGAATTAAATGGTCATACTTGGGTGAATACAATAGATAACAATTTGGATGCATACAATAGATAACAACAAGGCATCATCCTGAACAGGATTTGAATAATGGTGCTTTTGGTTCCTTGATAGATAAAGCCTGACCTGTTATTTTCTCCACAGTGACAATGAGGAGGACCGGGGCCGCTCGTCTCACAATGGCCAGTCTGGAAAAGAGTTTAAAGATGAAGAGGAGACTGTTACCACCAAGAGTGTACAAATAGTCCAAGCAACAGAGACAACAGCAACACGCAAGAGAGGAGGGGTCCCATCCAGGAAAGTAGACTTGGGGGCTGCAGCCCACTACACAGGAGACAGAAGCCCAAACACCACTACCAAACAGGTAGCAAGAGCAAACACAAGCATATAAGATAAGACTTTACGCATGTAGTTAGGTTTGTATTGTGTCCTGATCTTTTTTTTTTAAATGTTCTGTATTCCAGCCCCAACCAGCAGCAGCCCCTCAACCCTCCAGTACCGGCTTAGCTGATCTACTAATGGTGGACACAACACCGAGCCAACCCGCTGCCACAGGTATGATGTCATTGAATACCTTGACGTTTTGTGAAATGCGCTTGTTTGTTGTCTAACAGGAGTTAGCTAAGAAGATTGATTTCAGTTGCATTTCTGTGGCTTCAGCAGAGAAATGTGTTCAGCATAGCTTAGCACAAATACTCAAATACTGGAACCTTAGGGAAACAGCTAGTCTCTGCCCAAAAGGAAAAATGTTTTATTGACGTGCTGTATTTTCTTAGCAAACAAGCTAGATACCAGTAAATCCAGAAAACTCCATAATGTCTACAGGACAAGACTCTGTTTGCAGTTATGGTGCCCAGCTGCTGATGCTAGCTTCAGATTTTGGGGACAACCGGGGGAGGGAGTTGATGTATAGGAACTAAGTGCACCAGATGTTTTTGGAGCAGTCCCTGGTGAATGGGGAGGGTAGAAGCACTGAACAGATGTTTGGTCTCCTCCACCTATCCACTGCCACCACCCCTCCTTTCCCTCCTACACATCTGACGCTGAAGGAATGTTAACTATGGTAGAATGACACCTGGAGCTCGCTTGTGTAAAATTGACGTATTTATGTCTGTTTCTCAACGCAGACCTGATCAGTGGATTTGCTGACTTCTCCTCGCCTGCTGCCTCAGTCGGCCTCTCCTCAGCATCCGGTTGGTTTTTAAGACTTTTTTTTTTTTTTTTTTTTTGTGAGAGTGTGTATGTGTGTGCTGTGCTGTTGCAGCCATACTGCTAGAATATTCACAGGGATGCTGGGAGAGAGCCCTGGCCATATGGAGCCTGCTACCTGCTCTGCATAACAAGAACAGACACACATCAACTCCTGTTATGGATGACAAGGAGACAGGGACAGAGGAAGAAGTTGGTGGGGGTGGAGGAAGCTGAGAAAGGGAGAGAGACAACAAGCAGGGCCAGTTCAATGAAAATTTAAAATGTGGCACCAGTGGTCACTGAGAATGCCCTGGATAAAGCTCAACTGACCTCACTGAAGACTCAGTTTTTTATTCTTAATTGCTGTGACAGGTTCAAATTTGCTTGTGTGACTTTTATTTGCTGAATCTTGCAATTATTTACAAAGCACACGATACAAACCTCACTGTTTGGATGGTAAATTTAAACATTTACCCAACTGTCTTTTATCTTGTGGCAGCAGCACCAGCCTCCAACAGTAATGGAGACTTTGGAGAGTGGAATGCCTTCCCTGGAGGTCAGATGCCAGTATCTGCTCAGACCGGCGACACCAGTAGAAATGACCTTTTTGGAACCATGTCAGCAGGCCCTGCCGCTGCCGCCCCCCCAGCACCCGCCCCAGTCTCGGCTCCAGGCTCAGTTCCTGTGTCAGCAGACCTGTTTGACTTGATGGGGCCAACTCAGTCCCTCACCTCATCCCAGAGTCTCAACTTTAGCATGAGCAGCACACAGACCTTGAGCAGCACAGTCCTGCCCCAGTCTAGGTCACAGGTATGCATGATTGCACTCGTACACACACGCATCCTTTTTTAATAATTCATTGATATACATATCATTACAAGACACATAAAGGAGGCATAAATGATCCAGGTGGAAGCAAAATATCTGCAGGAAAATAGCGATGCACTTGGGGACTTAATGTTTAATGAGCTAGACAGATACATTTGAGGGTTAGCAATTCTATATTAATAATATTAAAATTACATTAAAAAAAAAAATCACGTGTTTCTGTATATGTATGGCAGTATTTTAAAAAATACAGCATATCATTTTGATAAAAGTACTTCGTAATTCAACAAAAATATTGTCATCATAGATACTACAACATTTTTAGGAATTTACACAAATATTGGAGCTGAATTAGATCACTTGCACTGTCTCCCTCTGTAGTGGCTACAGGACAGGTGTGTGTGTGTGTGTGTGTGTGTGTGTGTGTGTGAGAGTGAGAGTGTGTGAGTGAGAGAAACACTTCTTACATTGCACTGGCTTTGTTTTGAATACACTTAATTGACGTTGTCAACCATGGCAGTACTGACACAAAGAGCCATGACAAGCCAATCAGTATTACTCAGTAGCAGACTAATAATTACAGTCTCCAACAATGGAAAATATGGCAGTTAGATACCAGATGGAATGATTAATTATTTATTAGTAAAAAGCATTATGGTTAGGGGCTTTAAAAACATTAATATTGCCCTATATTCTATCTAGCTTAGAATATTATTAGTAATGACCAATAAAACCATTTAAGATCTAGATATGAATTCTATTGCCATCACTTTAGTGGAACTGCTTATAGTGATCACGGTTACAGTAATCATCTGCTTATATGGATCAAAAAGCTTGGACAGGATCATTCCTATTCAAATGCTGTTTAAAAAGAATTCTTACCGTAATCGGTAGTCCACTTGGTGTTCCTTTTGCATCTTTTCATACATAACATATGGGGAAAAGTTCATTGTTATAGCGTACTACTGCAAGCTGTCATATGCTTAGGCTCTAACTTATTTGTACAAGGTTTTTGACTGCCACAGTGTGTAACAACTGGTAATGTAACTCACACACCATGTCATATCTTTACCACCCTGGCTCAGTGAGTTATTTTGCCCTCCTATTCCTGCTCTGCTCGTGTTTTTGGACTCTTACAGTGCGTAATTAGCGTCCCTGCTCTCAGCTGCGGATGTGTTAAGTGAGTGGAATGTAATGCTTTCACCCTGACCATTCACACTTGGCTTGGAGGAGGAGATGGCCACACTGCAGTTGATATTAGTTTATCTTTAAATCAGTAAATAGCAAATGTAATAAATATACAAATGTCAGTTAGATGGTAATCTGCATGATAAATAAAGAAAAAGGAAAAAACATTACGTTGCAATAATCTTCTGGCTATAGTGATCATTTGACCTGGACAGACATGGTCACTACAAGCGGTTCCCATAGTATTTTTAATGTCAGCTTAAAGCAGTCCAGTTTGAGACTCAACCAATCAAATGTGTTTGTTTTCATCTAACCATGGGCTTATTCATATCCCATTGGCCATTAAATATCAATGCTATTAATGATATTCTGGCATGTAAAGGCAAACTTCCCATTTGATGCCTATGCATAAGGTGGCAAAAAGATAAATGTCAAACAGATGTGATAAATCATATAACTAACCTATCAGTACGGCACCTCAGAATTCGTGTGATAGAGACATAGCTCGTGTGATTGAAAGATGGAGGACAACCATGATGGTAGAGGGTTAACATGCAGCCCCACCAGATGCTCATCTCCCCCAGAGACCGCCCACTAACCACCCACTCCTCCTGTTACTGACACACAGAATGAGAAGAATCAGGTTTGAGTTTTAGAAACATTAAAACCCAACAATAGCCTGCATATGTCGACATTATTTCCATGTTTAAAGGTTGTTGACCTTCCTTTAAAAAAAAAAAAAAAAAAAGCTCATTCTTTGTTTCACTGAGAAGACACACCACTTCGTCTTACTCTCATTGCTTTGTATGGTATGTTTTAATGAGTTTGGAAAGAGACAGTAGTAGATAGTATCAGGGTTAAGTGGGTCAGGCTTAAGGCCTTAAATTATGACAAACTATATCTGATCATGTATTTCAGTGTTGGAGCATTTATGCATCTTATCACTGTATATTTCTGTGATTTAAGCCTGGATTAGTTGTCTGCCTAACACTGTATTTGAGCTTGTGTGCATCTTTGTTTTTACCAGCCCCTCCAGAACATGGGAAGTCCGCTACATTCGCAGTCTATGCAGCCCCTCCAGCCCCTCCAGCCAGCGCAACAGGGAGTGGCCTCTCAGGGTGCCGGAGCCAAAGCGTCCCTCCCATCCACCTGGTCAGACCACTCTGTTAACATCAGCCTGGACTTCCTGGGTCCAGGCATGCAGCCCCCCAAGCCTAGCCAGCCCAGCCTCAACACCCTCCAACAAGGTGAGAGAAATAGAAGATCTGACATGAATAGTGACAATGTAACCAGGCTTTGTCATCTTTTTCAAAGCATACTTTAAATTTGGCTCTTTAATTCATTGAGTTTGTTCTGTCATTTCCAGGTAACCAGACCAACATACTTTCCCAAGGAGTTTCCGCCATGAGCCTTGGACCTACAGCAGTCAGACCACCCATAAATCCTATGATGCATCCTGGTGCTGGAATGGGAATGGGGATGGGGATGGCCCCCAACCAGGGCATGATGGGGATGGGCATGAACATGGGGATGCCACAGGGAGGTATGACCATGGGGATGCCTGGTGCTATGGGCATGGGCATGGGAATGGGGATGAACCCTGCAATGGTCCAACAGCCCAAACACGATGCCTTTGCTGATTTCGGCAACTTCGGAAAGTGATGGACCTGGAGGTCAAAGATTATCAGGAGGAGTGGTGTCAGTCTCTCTCTCTCTCTCTCTCTCTCTCCGTCCATTGGTGAAGGATTGTTATGAGCTGCAAACAAAGAGTACTTGAATAATGTCAACTATCATAATACCAACACCCTGCAATCTCCTTACTTTTGAAAGTAATACCGTGTAGTGATACAGATCTAAATGAATGTGTGTGTGTGTGTGTGTGTTGTTTGAACCAATGATCTGCCTGGTCTGGGGTGGTGGTCAGACATACACACTGATAGTGTGCCTTGTTGGTTAGGTATGAGTCAGTGAGAAGAGGAAGTGTGTGCCATTGTGAGAATGTCAGGGGGATTTGCTTTATAACCTCAATCAAGTGAAATCATCAGAATAGCAAAAACGTATATCAGTAGCTGCATATTTTTTTGAGATGCACTCTCAGTAACTTTACTGAATGATGAGTTTGGATAACATGATCAGCCATTTTAACTTTCTAATGTACATTTAAGAATGTCAAGTTACCTCTTTTTTTGTCCTTGCTCTTCCTTTGACCTGTAAATAGAAATCTGGAGCCCTTACAAATAAGTTATGAAGTTCCTATAGAGGAGGCAGTGACAATGTGAATAGTTGTATCACACAGACCAAATCTGATATGACTTAAGACCTATTACAAAGCACACTGACACCTTCTCTTTGTATATAAGTGTGCACACTCCAGATGTGGCCTGTCAGCGATACAGTTAAAGTAATGAATGAGTGTTTGGAGTGAAAGCTATTGATCAATTTTAGGAGTTTCTCCTTCAACAGACCATCATTTGTGGCCTTTTTTATAGGTATATATATCTATAGATTTTACTTAATATTATAATCAGTTTGCATCCAAATGAGATAATCAGTGGGTAGAAAGAGCCTCATACAGGGGTTGTGGGTTCTTTATTACAGCACGAGTGCCTGAAAGACCTTTGCCTTTTCTCATCAGTTAACCTCTTTGAAGGAGACAATGTGACTGTGCAGTGTTGAGGACAGCTACCAGAACGGAGCTTCTGTACTATGTACAAACAGTGTTTGTACTTACACCTCAAGCCAAGTGTACTGTCTGTACAGATGTTATTTCACTCATTCTGTTTTGTTTGTCCCTTGCACATTTTTGTTTCCACTCTGTTCAGACCAGTGATAGCTTCAGTTCTCTAAAAACACCAAGATGAAAATACTTCAGTCAGCACCTCAAGTGTTGATGCAGACTGTTATTAAGATTGCATCGTACATCTATCTGTTGTCTCTTAAAATGCTCGACAGTGCATCTTAGTAAATGCTGCCTTCTCACCTTCCATCTTTATTACTGTTACACATTAAAAACTGCAATCTTGAAAACATCGTTGCTGCCATAACAATCATAGGTCCAAGTCTGCATGTATTGCAACCCATCAGGTACAGAAAATTGTGGGGGAAAAGAGAGTGAGATGCAGTTTGTTCACAGCCAGTATGTTATGGTGGTTGGATGAAGATGTGTTTTGGGGTAACAGATAATGAAGAATCATATTCAGCTGTACAGCGGCTAAGTGATCTGACTTTAAGATGTACAAAACATTGCTCTTCAGTGGTTCAAGTGCCTGCCGATGGTTGCCTCCTGACCCTTGTAATGAGTGATTGATAAGTAAATCTTGGCTGCCTGACATATTTGGTATGTCAACGATGAGATAAATAATTCACTGACCAGAGGAGAAGGCAGTGGATTCTGTAGCCCCATGAGGTTTGAAGTTGTGCTTTCCAGCTCTCCCAAGGGCTCAAGAGGCTGAGCACACTAACACACAGTAGCCTTGCATTGGAGTCTGAAGCATTAAAATGACCAAAATCTGTTTTTCTAAAATATCTCAGTAGATTGTTTTATGCTTTTTTGTTTTTTACTTCAAATCATTTTGATCTTCTCTAAAATGGGATTGTTACTGAAACACTAGTATATGCAAATGTAAAAAAAATGAAAATCCTTTGAGAGAAATGAAATTTTGCATTATTCCCATTTTGATTTGATTTACACATCGAGATTCTTTATCTACAACATTAAACAGTTGATTGAAATCTGTTAATGGTGTGTGTTATTTGGTGTGCTATGTCATTAGCCTCGTTCAAAAGAGCTTCAAGCAGCAAAAGTGAAGCCACTGCGCTCGACTTTGAAATTACATTTAGTTGATGCAAGTTTTTTAACTTCATTGTTTGAGCTAGTAAAGAAAGACCTTCAATAAATACATGTATTCATAGATTATATTAATAAGGCCAACAAAACAAGTACAGGGAATGTAAACTCTAACAATACATAAATATTTGTATGCTGAGCACCAAATCCATAGATTTCTACTGCCGACTGCATCACAGTGCAGGTAACACAAGACCGGAAACTAGATCAAATTAAGACATTATTGACAGATTACAGAGTACAAGTGAACTGAAGTAGCACTACTGGAATAAGGTCAAATAGCGTAGTCTAACTGAAGCCCTTCTCGTTACCACCAGTGCTCTGACCTTCTCATATTGTATCGAGGTTTGTTAGAACACACTGGTGTGACAAACACGACTAAAACACGGCTTGCATTAAACAATTGACCCCATTTTCACTCTCAGGAGAGGACTGGTAAATGGGCTATACTAATAATATTCTGATACATTATATGAAAAGTAACAGTATATAGATGAACAACAGTTCAGCTACTGATAGAATTTGTCCTATTTATGGCATAACATATATAAAAAGAGGGTCAATTAAACTCTGAAGTCAAATGAAGAAAAACTAGAATAAGAAGGTATAACTCAAACTCTTGACGCAGGACCGGGAACATTATCGCAACATACAATCGTTCTGTGCCACTCGTCATCCAAAAGTAACCCCTGCCATTTAAAAAGAAAAAAAACCAACATCTTTAAAATTTCCACGAGATGCAGTAAATTGTGCTTTTATGGGTAATGTGCCCATTAAAGAGTAAAAGCAATCTGAGACGTCAAGACAAATGACAGCTTTTGAGTGCCATCTGCAATCTCTAGCTTCACAAACTCAATTATTCATAATGCATTTATGAAGTCCGCTGAGACTGCGCTGTCATTCCTGCTCAAACTAACGGGAAAAGCAACATAAAGGGACAAGCTCTTTGAGACAATGGCCTTGCAGATGGTACTAATGTGTTTATGCTGCCACCTGCTGGGTAATAACCATAACACAGACACAGTTATTAATGCTGTGGCAGAGGAGTGTCAAAATAAATTTTCTTTAGTGGCTGACACACAAAAAAGCAAGACAAGAAATGACTATAATTAGAACTGAGAAGCTTTTATTTCTCAAAATCAAGACGATATCTCTGGTGGGCAGAGAAAAACCTCCATATCAATATGATATAACAGTAATCCTTGTTTGATTCTTCCGAATCTAATTCAATCACAATCTAATCACAGAGATCTCTCTTCATACACACATCTATTATTTCAGATGTTCAACATGAAATGAAATTTCTAATTCAAATGTAGTTGTAGCTGATGTTTGTTGAAAATACAATGTTTTGTTCAAAAGTATCAAACAGGAGACAAGAATCAGATTGGCTGTAGGTTAACCAGGACAACGTTCTCACCCCGAATGAAAAGCTGGTTGATGTGGCGTGTATGGACTTTGCCGTACGGCTGGGAGTTGTTCTTATGACAGGCCTCTGAGCCCTGGGCCTTTAGCGAGACTTTGTGTTTATCCTGTGTGGTTTTAACAGCATCTGACGACATGGACTCTGTCCTTCTCTCCCCTCTGCTGGTGGTAGGGTGAGAAGACCGGCTTGTTCGAGTAGCTTTGGGGTTTACAGGCTGACGCTTGCTGGCTTGTTCCTGGGCTTCGTGCTTCTTCGCCGGCTCATCACTTCCTGAGCTTTCCTGGAGCTTTAGCTTCTCAAAGAGCTGCACAAAGATTTTAGTCACATTAACATCTGTGGATAAAACTATCATCATCAAATCAAACCCAATTTTTGATACTATTTATCCTCTGCACCATAGTCATTCAACGTATTTACATTCAGTAATTACTTCTCTATATAGTAGTTATCATTGTTGGGGTGGGGTCTGCCATTTCTGTGCTGGATTCAAGAGTTACCTACCTACACCTGAGGGATTCACAGGAAACGATGCGTGTACATCATCCAGCGTTACTGTTAATGTTTCATTTTATCTCACTGATGTCATCCTCACTGTTCACTGCTCACTCTCCTTATCATATCAGAGCTGTATTGAGATTATGCAAACCCAACATTTCCAACTGCTGCTGCTTCACAGTGAAAGTGTTCACTGGAAGAACACAGGATGACTTTTATTGATAAGCACAGGAAATACAGTATCACCGTGGCCAGCACCGACCTGGACCTTTCATCAAAAAGGTGCCTACAAAACAAGACATGCTCACTTTCTGCGCTTTTAAGACAGTGGATCAGTTTATTTACTGCAGGAGTAATGGAACAAAAAGGAGCATCATAGTTAAGATGAGATGTTGCTGCTGACAATTTAAATCAACTAAAGGATTATAACTTTAATTATTACTGAGTAGGAAACATATTTGGGTCAAAAAAACAGTGAAAACTAGCACATACCCGTGTAATGGTGAGGGCTTTCTCATGGTAGAGTGCCTCTCCAAGCAAAGGCTCTCTGTATGTCTCATCTACATCTACCATCGCCTAACAAAGAGAAACAAAAACAAAAGGTGAAAGGCCAATATAAAGACATCACATTCATGCACATGGCAGCTGTCAAGTCAAAAGTACAATGAGAAAATGCAGGTGGGAAAGCACTCACCATGTTCCAGAACTTGTCGAAGGCAACAACAAAGCCAGAGCACACTCCCCTCAGTCCCTTGAAGGTCCTAATGTGAACTTTGACCCTTATCCTCTCCTCAACGCATCGATACAGCTCACCCAAAGGACTCCCTTTAGACACTGAGGACACATAAAACACAATCTACTTAGTGCAAATCCACAAATACTAGTACAGGATAAAATTTTAACTGCAAAAGTATTACCCATGAAAGATTAGCAATAATAAATTACCTAGAAACAGGCTCTGTCTAAAAAGTAAAAAGTGTGTAGAATGTCCACATATTGTTTTGTAACAGGACGTATTTAGAGCCTTTACTTTCAGTAAATATGGTAATATCACGAAGCCAAAATACTCAGTTACAAGTAATAAATGTAAACAAGTAAATGTTCTATGTAACAGCTGATTTTACCTTTACTTTTATGGCTACAAATACTGGTACAGAATATAATTTTAACTGCACAAGTAGTACTAAATGGTTACCCAAAATATTACCCATAATAAGCTAGCAATAATAAATTACCCAGAAACAGGCTCTGTGTACAATGTCCACATATTGTTTTGGAACAGGATGTATTTAGTCTTTACTTTCAGTGAATATGGTAATATCACAAAGCCAAAATATTTAGTTATAAGTAAAGATGCTGCATTAAAAGTAAATGTAAAAGAACAGGAGTATTATCAGTAAAACGTACATAATGTACAATGTATAGTAAACTAAATGAAAGGTAATCAATACACAGAATAACCTTTTTATAAATGTAGCAGCTGATTTTACTTTTATGGCTACTTTAACATGTTGAAAGGTTAATTATGTCATAGATATATCAGTATTATATATTAAGCTTCATAAGGGAATATTGGTGGTGGCTCTTTTTTTTCTGCTGGCCCGCAAAGCCTCTATTGATTTCTCACTGTGCCAGCAGCTCTTAAAGAAAAGCTTGTTGCATGATAGTTTAGACATTACATCCCTAATGCCAAGATCATCTCTGATCATTTCATTGATTCAGAGAGGAATCAATTACAAATGCTGCAGAGCCGCCAGCTGTCAGTACCCTCAGACCAGATCAACCACAACACATGTTATGATTTTAGAAAACTGTTCATGTCATTCCAGGAAATGAGGGGCTTTTGGTTTTGGTGTTTTCATGGGTATTTGTTGACAATTATAAAAATACAGACCATCGTCAGCCTTATCCTTTACTGCAATAGAGCAGTGGATTTAGCTGGGTATACAACCTGGGCATGTAATTAATGGGGTTGAAGCATTTTATATACAGTATTATATATGCATCACTTCACAGTAGTGTTTTAAAAGTGGTTTTACAGTTTATACTTAATTAAAAGCGTTTCCTTGGGGACCTGGCAGACTGTGTGACATCAGCAGTTGAGCTCTAGAACAGTTCGACTGTGACACAACAACCAGCATTCTACATCAGAACCCGCAAACTCTTCACCCTGAGCTCACTCTGTTCATTTGTGCCAGGAAGAGCAACCAAGTTGTATTCTCAGCCCTATTGTCAAACCTATCGTTGTGAAATTTTAGTTGTTGCTTTGAAAGTTTTGTTTGTTCTGTTTGTTCTGTATTGTGATATACAGAAACTAAATATGGAGTTTCTTGAAGGAAGCAGAGGAATCTACAGACCCATCAGGGTATGTCAGAGGCCCAATTAAGAGGGCTGCATCCTTCTTGAGAGTGTTTGGTTTTTACTGCAGACTTTAAACATCTTCAAGTTTACTTTTAAAAAAACTAACATTATCTTCTTTGGTTTAAAGGTGTTGTTTGATACAACCATCTATGATCGGGCTCTGCAGCTCTGCTGGCATATAAAGAGCTACAAGTCTCAGGTAAGAACTACTATCCTTCAAAGCCCACAGCAACACAAAATGCCAGGTAAATCCTGATAAACTTTGTCTTGTCATACTTAAAGATGACATATCTCCTTGGTGTTTTTCAGATTGCTCTGTTGATGGAACTCCTAAAGCTTCAGCAGAAAAACCAGATCCCATCTCAGGTAACCGCTGAAGACATGATTGATCTCATTCTGGAGAGGAGCAAAAATACGCTGAGAGAGCGGTGAGTTACTGACACAAACACACAGTCCACCACTACACCTTGAACTCTTCTCATGTCACACCAATCTGTCTACAGTGAAGTGTAACAGTAAAGATAATGTCTGTTTTGTTTCTGTTTGAAGTCTTTGGGCGTTTGAGCTGGAGGATTTCGATGAGGACGAAGCCAGGCCTCTTCTGATGCTGGTAAGACAAGAATCCCAACACCACTTGAATTAGATTGGAATGATTTGTTTTATTATGTTGATTTAAATCTCTAAATATGAAATAACTGGACTATATACCTGATTTGTTGGTCCAGGTGTGGGCAATGAACGTCAGCAATAAAATGAGGGATATTGAGTTTGAGGCCAAAATGCTCCTCAAGTCCCCAGAGGCCATACCCCCTAATTTTCAGTGAGTCACATTAGACACACATTATCTATTAACAGCTGAACTACATTGGTTTTAATACGTCTGTGATATTCTGAATAAAATGTATTCTTTAAAATGTATTTTTATTGACTGTAACCCACAGACATCCTAAAGTCCTCAGCATGGCAAAAGACTATGCCAAGATCCTGAGACAGAGACAGCAGGAGGCATCCAGCTCTAAAGTGCTCTCTCCACAGGAGGTGGTGATGGAGGTGGTTCCCAGAGTCCTGCAGGGCTTCTGGGTGCTTCCCCCTCGCTCACTCTTAAACATGCCTTCCCAGCTGCTCAGCAAACTGTCTGTTGGGGTTGCAAAGGCCACTTTGGACCGTGTCTCCAGTGCTCTCACCACTATGGGACATCAGGCCAACTTCTCCCGCTCCATGAGGGATGACATGGTCCTGTCTATCCTAACAGAGATCAGGCAGATGTACCCACACGATATCCTGGTGAACAGGATCAAGAACTTTGCACCAGTGCTCCTGAGTAAAATTGCTGATGTCGCCGCAGAACAGATTTGTGAGATGTTTCGGCCCCAGAGCCCCAAAGTGCCGGCTCATCTGACACCTGCAGTTGAATCTCCAGCCACCACTTCTGAGGAGCAGCAAACACCCAGTCCACAGATAATCTCTGCTGTGGTTGAAACTCTACTGTCACACCCTGCTGAACCTGCAACCAAGGTTCACGCCAGAGAGGATGGTAGTGGAGAACCCAGCCTGGATAAGGACGTCAAATTCTCTAAAACACCAGACTCTGCTGTAATCACACCCCCTGCTGAACCTGCATCCAAGGTTCAGAACAGGGAGGATGTCATTGAAGAACACAGCCAGGTGAAAGACCCCAAACCCTCAACTGAACCAGACACTGCTGTGGTTAAAAAACTACTATCACACTGTGCTGAACCTGCATCCAAGGTTCAGGCCAGAGAGGATGGCAGAGGAGGATGCTGCGGGGAGGAGGACCCCAAAGCTCCAACTGAACGAAACACTGCTGTGGTTAAAAAACTACTGGCACAACCTGTTGAACCTGCATTCAAGGTTCAGGCCAGAGAGGAGAGCAGGGGAGAACCCAGCTGGGTAGAGGACCCCAACCCCTTCATTGAACCAGACATTGCTGTTGTTCAGGTTGCACCAGTTCCTCTTGAACATGTGGTGATCGCAACAGGTGACTCAGAGGTCACATCTACGAACAACAGAGAGACAAGCTTCCTCGACTTCCTTCGACCACTGCGGTGTTGTTTTCTATTCACAGACAAAAAAACTGATTAACTGTTGTGACTTATTAAATGTGTTGTATTTAATAAATAAATTCAAATTAAAACATAAAATTATTGTGATCATGTCAAATTGTTTAAATACTCTACTGTTTAAAGTATGAACACTGATTTGGAATGTGGAATGTTTTTTTCATTCACAATTTAATGCTCAGGGTAAATAAAACCTTTAACACTCTAGCCCCAGGTTTTTAATTATTTTTGGTTTTCTTCTTAAGATTAATAAATCATAGAAGAAATTCACCTGAAACACAAAGACAAATTTTCTTCCAAAGATAAAAAGAAAGAGGCAAATCATGCAAATACTGAATTCTAGATGTATGAAGTCAGAAAGTTAACGTTTCCATTGGATGATGCACAAACTGAATGATGAATGCAGATGCAGATGCTTCCATTCAGGGCACAAGGGGTCACTGAATGGGTTGATGAGTATGAAAATGATGTTAATCATCCACTGTGGCCTGCTGTCACCAGAGCTCAAACCAGTACAATACCCATGAGAAACTTTGGATGACATGTTGCCAGTTTGTGGTGGCCAAAAACATAACTAGGGCACTTCCTATCAGTTTTTCTGTTAATTTGTCACCTTCATTTGCACAAGCCTCTAATATTTCAAGCAAAAACAAACATTGTGGATAAGTAGCCCTTGAATTTACAAAATTGTGACCAAAATACGTACTAAGTGGGATATTTTGCAGTTGGAAATTAATCTTTTTATTTTTTTGCTGACAAACTATATGATGCCGTCAATTTTAACCTGAAAGTTTTTGTAACTTATCGACTGATGCATTAATACCTATATATCTGCAATTACTAATATCTGAAGCTTTTTAAAAAATATTTCAGTTTATCGCAGGCTCCAAATGAGACCATGTTACCAAACAAATCCAAAATATTCCAACACACTTCATAACACTTCAACACAACTAAGCTGCACCATATGAAGCAGTGATGTAGTGGGTATTGAACCTACAGGGCATCCTTGTTAGGACATTTTTCTGGGGCTTCTGCCGCCTCCTGCTCCGCGGCGTGCCGCTGCTCTCCCCCTCCTCTGACGGCGGGTTATTCACCATGAGCTTCTTCAGCCTCTCGATGCGCTCCGGGTCCGCGACCCCTTTCATCGCCTTGAACCGTTTCTTCTCCACGTTTTCCGGCTTGGCCCTGCCCCGGCCGCCCCTCAGAAAGCTCTCGTATTCTGCCACATTGTTAAAACATTTGATGTTTGGAAAAGGAAGCGATACAGTCGGAGAGTATAAGGCTAAGAGGGGGTCAAACTTCTCAGAGCAGACATCTATTTTATCTGCGTCATCGTCCCCATCTTTACTGTCTGCCTCCGGCTCGTGCTCCGGCACTGGTGCTGTACTTGTACCGGCTGCTGGCACCTTCTCTTTGCTGTCTGATTTTACACTTTTTCTTTCCCTCTCCTCCATGTTTGAAACAACCGCAGACGAGCACACGGTGAAGCAAGGAATCCTGGGAAGTTTGTTGTTGTCGGTAGAGTTTGAGGTATCACTCTGCACCTATTTGAAGAGACGCTAGACGTCACATACCAGAGTCTAACTGTCAAATGTTGCATTTTGGTCCCATATAGTGTTAATATTGATGTTCTTTTTTGTAAAAACAGATATCCTCAAAAACACAAAAAATCCACAAAAATCCAATCTTCAAAAAGAGCTTAATCTCCAACTGCCCTATAAATTCCGCAAGAGGCGTTTCCCTAAACTATTACTCATACACGATCTTTGATTGTACTCTTCCCTTCTTACCACAAGATGGCGATGAAACACAGATATTTGTTTGATCGCTTCGATGAAAATCTGTTTGCTTTAATGGATTATCCTACGCAGCATAACAATAATAAATTGACATATGACGTCAGATGTGTTTTTAAAGTAGGCGAGCAGACAACTGAGAACCATGAGCTGTTTGTTTCCAGTTAATTGTTAATTATTAATTCCAGGCTTTGCTCCGGAACTTCTGTTCGTTGTGTTTGCTGCACCACTACGACAGAGTTAATTGACGGACAAGTCAACGTGTGTAGTGTGAGATGATGGCTGTTTTCGAATATATTCACATCAATTAAAAACACAGCTTTATTATCATACTACATCAAATGTTGGTGTTTGTGTAACTAACAAAATAGCCAGATATAAGCGTATGAAGTAAACGTGTTTCCCAGAAATAGCCAACTTGTGCTTACTGAAGGTGCAGAGGACTTACACTCTATGACATCCAAGTGTAAGTACTAATGCTTATGTTATAATGGGGGAAAAGAACATGTAATATTAGATATCCCGTCATGAGTTGGATCTGTTTATAATATCTTTGATATAAAAATGCTATTTTGGTAGAAATTTTACCACTATTGCTTATGAATTTTGATTTTAGGAGGACCCTCATGCTAATTGGAAAGGTCAGCAGATTTGTTGGACGTGTGAGGTCTTGTGTTGTTATACCATTGGCCCGTGTTTTTACCTCCAGCAATATGGCAAAGAGCAAGTTTGAGTATGTCCGCAACTTTGAGACAGATGACACTTGTCTACGAAACTGCTACATAGTTGTGAGGCTGGATGGTCGAAATTTCCACAGGTCAGTTTCCTTCTCAAGCGACACATTTACCATCTCTGTGAACAAGAGTGGTTTTGCAGCAGATTGATGTACAATTTGAAACCATGCAATTGTGTTTTTTTCTCTTGCATTTTGTGGCAGATTTGCGGAGCAGCACCAGTTTACAAAGCCAAATGATAACAGAGCCTTGGGCTTGATGAGCAGGAGTGCACACTCTGTGATGGAGGAACTGGAGGATATTGCCATAGCTTATGGTCAAAGTGATGAGTTCAGCTTTGTTTTCAAGAGGAGCTCCACTTGGTTTAAGAGGCGAGCCAGGTAGGAGGAGAGGAATGGCATTCTCACACATGCTTTTCATCTCTTGTTGCATCTTGCCTGACTTCATTACTCCTGCTTTCTCTTCTGGCAGTAAGCTCATGACCCACGTGGCCTCACAGTTCTCCTCCTCGTATGTCTTTTACTGGAAGGAGTTTTTCGGGGATCAGCCCATCCTGTACCCGCCAAGCTTTGATGGACGTGTGATCCTGTATCCTAGTAACCGTAACCTTAGAGATTACCTCAGCTGGAGGCAAGCAGATTGTGAGTACATATAGTGCCCTACCTGTTTTACAAATCACAAATTTGACTGTTGAGGGTAAAATGTGTCAGACTCTGCTCACGTTTTGTGTCTTTCAGGTCACATAAATAATCTGTACAACACAGTGTTTTGGACGTTAGTACAGAGGGCAGGACTCACCACAGCTCAGGCAGAGGATCGCCTAAAGGTGAGAGGAAACACAATCTAAAAATGTTGTGTATATTGACACAAATGCATGTGTTTAGGCAACTGTACTGTATGTTATAATAATGCAAAAGGCCAGTAGCACTACTTTTTATTGTTACTCCTGTTTCATTTCTATAAATAACAAAGTAAGAATAAAAGGAAAACAATACAATATCTTCAAAAACATGACAATGACATTTGCGACCTGCGAACCCCTTGCGGATATGGAAAGTTTTAATTGGGCTTCAGGTAAATTAAGACGTAACACTGTTGGTCGACAGCACATATGCAAAAGGTCATTCATATGATGTCATGTCTCCACGAAAATGAAACTCTCCACCTCTCTAACTCACTAAGTGAATGCCTCAGTTATGCTACAGATTAAAGACAGTATGTCAGCATACGAATTTTCTAATAGTGATTAGTTTTTGGTTTCCATTACTGTTGAAGGAATTAGTTGATTTGTCATTGTAAAGAAAACTAATCAATGACAGAGCTAATTGTTAAAGGTATTTATCAAGTAAATAGACCAAACATTTTTATGTTCAGCTTGCAAAAATATTTAGCAAGCTTTTTCTCCATTTTATATCTTTATAAATTTTATACATGTGTTTTTTTTTTACTGTTAAGACACGACTTTTGGTTATGATAAGGTTTGATAAACAGTAATCTTTATATTAGGCACTTTGTCAGACTAAATAATTAGTTGATTAATGGAAAATATAATCAGCTAATAAAAACTATGTTGTATGAATTATTTTGTGATTGTGAAAAGAACTTCATTCATTTAAAAAAAAAAAAAAAAAAAGTTGTTTTTAGGGCCTTTTATTTCTGATAGTGATAATGAGAGAGAGACAGGAGAGTCATGGAGAGAGAGAGGGCATGACATGCAGTCAAGGGTCACGGGTAAGATTCGAACCTTCATTGTACGCGCTCTACCAGGTGAGCCACTGGGGCGCCCACACTTCTATAAAGGTTGTTTGTAACTGTCTTTAATACAAGAATTTGTTTTGCTATCAACAAGACATAGTCCTTGATGTTGGGTGAATGCAGTTGTATGTGTTGTATTGGGTGCATTTCATTGGCCCAGTATTTGTGTGTAGTGGTCACCATGGTCACCACATTATTCTCTTCTTCTTTTTATTCTTAATAGAGATGAACACATACTCTGTGGTTTGCAACACCTCAAATTACCTCACTGTTTCTTTTTGGTGATGAAATTAAACAGAAGAGGTAACATCTTTCCATAGCACATCAGTGCTGTCACTGTTGGTGGCAGCAGCTGCCACTGACTGACACAGCTGTTCCCTGGAAGAGTCTTCATTCTACAGTGGGCTGGAGTGAGAAACTCAGATAATGTGATGACAGCTGACGAGTTGTGGAAATGTTTGTACTGGCAGCGTGTTTGGCCAACATGAGTCATTCACAGCCCATCAAACTTTTGTGCTTCCCAGTTCCTTTATCACTTAAAAAACAATTCTTTGGGAAAGTAGCTGTTTTGTTGGTGGAGGTTAATTTCAGGAAATTGTACTCTGCTTGTCCAGTGAGACATATCATTTGAGTTCATTTTTGTTTACACCTCTAGTACTTGAATTCTAACTTTGTGTTTTTCCTCTTTTCAGGGAACATTAGCTGCAGATAAAAATGAGATCCTGTTCTCAGAATTTGACATCAACTACAACAATGAATCTGCCCTCCACAGGAAAGGCACCACTCTCATCTGGGAAAAGGTGTGCTATTTCAAAGAGTTTGAGTCTGCACAATTATTACATAGAAATTGACATAGAAACTCCTTCTCTCATAAATACGTTTGGTTTTCAATGTGTGAATACAGCTTTTCTATTCCTTCATTGTAGCTGCTTCTACCTCACCCGTGTCACCTATTTCCACTTTGGTCAGTGATGTCTTACATTGTTCCTGACATGTCTTTTGTGTCTGGACATGTAGGATTTTTAGTAAAGGGGGATGCATGTTCCTTACATAACTTTGGCTGCTGTTTTGTGGAGAATTTGTCTCTTTTTCTTGTAGTTTAGGGGTTTCTTCCTGTTTGCTTGACAAATATCAGCAGGAAATTATAAGTCACAAGCAGTTTTGTGTGAAACCAAAACTTGACTTTTAGAACGCTGAGTTTTCTGTCACCACTTTGAGTGTGCCCTTAAATACAGGTAGACTTTTCAACAGGTCCCTGCTCATACTGCACTTGCACCTATACCTACCAGCATCTGTAAAGTTAAACAAAGCATAAGAAATGACTTTCTGTTATATCCTGGAACTGTTTCTTGGCCTTGGTGTAGTGTGGTATCACTCTTCTCATTTAACTCAACAGCATATTTCCTGAGATGTTGAAAAATTCCTTTCCCTTACCTTTAAACCTGCAGTGCAGAACATTTGTCTCAAATACACAATGAGGAAATGAGGAAAAGTCACACCAATGGTAATCTGTGTTGGTCTTCGCAATTGATAACTTTCTTTTTTTAAGACTGTAATCCTTCCTCTGAACTCTGAGTTTCTTCTTTGTCTGGAGCATCAGAAACTTTTCTTGGACGCTTCCTACGGTTTTCTTCTATAGGCTCCACCATACTCCTAGTTGCTGTAGCCTTCGCCATCTCTGTCGCTACGGTCGTTCCCCTCTTCAGCTCTGGTGAATCAATCACTGTCGGTGTATGTAAAAGCCATCACTACCGGCGGGCCAGTGCAGGAATGTCTCCTCAGGCACCAGATTCAAAACTCCAGTATACGGCAAAATACAGAAAGGTTTAACTTCAGCTGATGGGCTTAATCGGCACTTTGTGAATTTGTTTGGCAACGGCCTGAATATAATGGAAGTTCATTTATACGTCATCATATAGATATATTTATATGTAGGTCCTGCACTCCGGCTTTAATTGTACTAATCGTATTCCTCATTCTCCAGCGAAATGAAACTGTCACTAAACGCATGAAGCCTCCAGATGAAGAGGAGAAGCACGTACCTGTGATTCGCAGCAGGAGAAGGGTGCAGGCCTACCACTGCGACATTATAGGAGACCAGTTCTGGGAGGAACACCCAGACATCCTGGAAGATGACAACTGCTAACAGCTCCACTCCTGATGGAGGAGAATGACTCAGAAATCAGTCTGGCCAGAATGGTTGAAGTGGACCCATATTAGCAATGACTCTAGGGGGACAGCCACAGCTTGATGTCACCCATTAGTACCTGTGAAAGCTTTGAAAGAGCTTTTTCTGAGACTGAAGCCTTTGATGATTGACTTTGTACAGTTACTTATGTTCATGTATTAAACTTCTCTCATAATCTTCCCTTAAAGTAAGAAGTTATCTGCTTAAATTGCATGTTGATGTCTGTCATGTTCAGAGGGAAGCAGATGATTTCATAATCTTTTGTATGCACATGCACAACAATCACACACTGATACAGACATCCACCCTCTCATCTCGAGTCTAGTCCAGTGAATCGTCTAAAGTTGCTTTTAAAAAAATATATCCTCATTTGATATCACGAATGGCATTTAGAATACTACCAGTACTTGATCTGTCTGTGTGTTTAGCATGATTCCTCTTGGCCCTCTGGCTTTTCTGCTGAGGGGTTTTCTTCTTGGTGTGGGCGTTTTGAATCTCAGCTATCGTTTAATTTTTTTCAGGGAGCAGAGCTCCTAGTGCATGAATTTTAATGATTCAGGAAGCTTGTCTGCAAAATGTTCAATATTACTTACAGTTTATAGTGAGATAAAGTAAGAGCTTATCTCGGGTAGAAATAAGCAGAGTAAAGCAGAAACAAATACCTCTGCAGTAACGAGTGGCCTTGTCTTGCAGCCAGGACACCATTTAGAGATGTGAATGGATTCATCGGCCTGCACTGTCATCAGTGCTAAGAATACCTCACACACCCTGTGTACACTCTATCCTTCTGACATGTGCTCTCTGGCACATTTATCATCACACTTATAAATGACCGGCTCAGTATGAATGGCTGCTGGAAGCTAGACATGGTACTGTATTTTGTTACTGTAGTAGGTTACTGGCGGGTGTTAGAGTTGTATTTTTGGTTCTGTGACCTTGTTAAAAGCATGTACCGTACTTTATGTAACCAGGATTCAACTCCTTCTATTGGCATGCAGAATCAAATACATTAATATAGGTCTGTTTGTTTTAATCAGACCTCTATAATGAGTAGATGTACAAAAACACTTTTATAATAACAGAGGTGGCTCTTATGTTGATGACATAAACCAGCTTTCTCCTTAGATCCATTCCCTTGGGCCACTGCCAAACTCAGCTCTTACAGTGACTCAACATATGGCTTCATGGAGGAGGAGAAATGGTAGAAACCAGAGTATGTGGCAGTTGTGCTGTTATTTAAAGAGAACATGTATTTACATGCAGGGCCTATAATTAAGCCTATAGGCCTACTGGTTGGAAAATACAGATGAAATAATCCACACTACCTCACAAGAATTGTACTTTATTGGCTCTTTTGAAAAAAATTCTTCTCAGATCTGATTGGCTACATATCAAAATAAACCATATTAACATCTTATTGTTCAGTTTGCAATTACAAGCAACCGAGTCTGAAAAAATGTTAGTCAGCCTCAGATATGGTGCAAATTTCTGACAGTGACCAAATCTTCCACATGGGAAAAAAAAAAACACTGAACTGTCAAAATGGTGCTAACATGACAGCAAAGCATCTGTTGTTAGCAGTTACAGCAAAATAAAATCCACTGTACACAACTGCAATCGACTCAGTAAATTTAAAATGATAGCATATGTTTTCACTTGCTAAGGAGCCGCTCAATAACTCAATATAGCAAGAGTAGATATTTAAGGCAATTTAAATTGTATCAACTACAAGGCTAACAGTTGGGATAGCCATCTTGAAATAATGCATGAACACAGTAACATGAAATTTTTCTGTTTTTTCATTCTCATTTTATACTAAAACAATTCAAAAATGCACTCCATCAATGTTACAAAATTTAATTGAAATGTAATAGTCACAGGCAGTACTATTCAGGTGGTGAAGACAGTTAAATAATATCTTCAGTGCCTCTGGTGGAGCTTGAGGAGATAACCCTAGTGATGTCATCTGGGTTATCTTGGTTTGGGCTTAAAGACTACAAATTTAAAATAGAGAGCCTTTGTTACAAACTGGAGGCACTGAGTCAGAAAGTTGTTGGTATTAACCAGGCAGGCCAGGGGAAAAAAAGCCATTAGTTGCATGATGGGAAATGTAAGATCCAGCATTTTTTGGACCTTTGCCCCTTTACTAGTAATTAAAAATGAAGATGTTTCAGACTCTCCTGCTTAAATTCCAACTCTTGTTTCTTTAATCTGTAGCTTCATACTTCCCAAACCTTACGGCAGTGCAATAGTAAATCACTGGAGCAACCTATCACTTTAAGAAATAGTGATAACATGAAAAACTGCAGGTAGTCCTTTAACAACCCCTTCAACTTAAAACTGCTTTGCTGTGGGATGATGGTTATTTAACTATCATGGTTATAATGATAATCTTTATTGTTATTATTGATTAAACGCAAAAAATAGACAATTTTGGCTAAAATTGCGCATTGCTCCTTCACCAAGTATAAGCGCGATGTTAAGTGTCAGTTGCTTTTCATCCATCATTTCATCATTGTCTTGCTCACCTCATCTCGTCTTCTCCTTGAGCGTGTAACGCAGGGGAGGGGTTGAAAATGAGAGAGCGCACTGACCCTGTAAGTAGCCGAATATCTCATTTAAGCAGCAGCAGCAGCAGCAGCAACAACGGCGGGAGAGGCGGCGGCGGCGGCGGCCTATCGCGATGTCACACCGGCGGCGTTTTCTCCATCTTATGTGAAACACCCAGACACGTTTACCGCACATTTATGTCTCAGTTCAGCGAATTCATTTGGAGCCGTTTGTATTTAGAATGCGTCCAGGAGCACGTGCCCCTCCTCTTCACGCCGCGCGGTCTTCCCTGTGTGTGTGTCTCTTAGTAGTTTTCCTCCAATGTGTTGAGGCTGCAGGCGCTGTGTATGATGGTGAGTCTGATTGTTTCTCCGAGCCGTGACTGAAATTGTATGTTAAGCATATCTACCTGTCTTGCAGCAGCTAGGCTATATCATCTTAAAATTCAGTCACCACGTGTTTGTTTGTTGGTTATGCAAAATGTAAACAGCAGTAGGCTATTATTTATTATTTTTATTTATTTATTTATTTATTTATTTTGCTAAAAGTGAGTCATCCAATGCACAAATGAAAAAAAAAAATTATACCTTCCTCTTAGATGGTCCTCTGCCATGTCTCCACACTTTGTTCTGTTTTCCATCAGGAATAAATAAGCAGGGTTCACTGAAGAGCATCCTTGACCATGTACAGAGTTATGAGATTACTTATCCCATATGGCTGCATCCTCACAGACACAGGAGGTCTGCCAACAAAGAGGTGAGCCAGTTTCTCTCTCTTCCACTCTCTCTCTCTGTCCCTTTGACTCATAAAATGATTACAAAACACAGGCACACATTTTAATCTTGATATAAGTCAGATCTTGTTTAGTGATATCTATCCTGTTACCTGATGAGCTATATCTGTTTTTCTTTCCTTCCAGCATCCTGCAGAAACACAGGTTCTGATCTCAGCTGAGGGCCAGCAGCTCAGAATACACCTGGAGAAAAATGAGTGAGTGATTAGAAAAATGTTTACAACACTGCAGTGTTTTATACATGCGATTAGAGAAGTTAAATGTCTGGCAACAAACAGGAGGAGTTACTTGGGCCAAATTATTCCCATCTGATTAAATCAAGTTAGAGCATCAACATTGGCCTGTGTATGTGTAGACATCCACAAGACGCCCCGGCAAAGCTCCATTTATTTGACCAGATGTTAGCTGTCACAGACACATTTATAAGGTCAGTGCCCCTTCGGGTGCAGAGAGGGGGATGGCTTTGGACGACAGAGGGTTGACACCCGATCTGTGTGCCTTGGGCAAACAAGAAGTAACAGGATTTGAGTTTCTGCACCCAACATCCTGTAATCTGATGGAGCGGTTCCTGTCCAGTAACAATGGGATGGTGATAGGAAGGGAGCAGAGCATCTCTGAGTTTAATGAACATTGTGATCGCAGGGCAGGGAGGACTGCAGCTCTTGAGATGTCAGTGGTGACAACAGAGCTGTGGTTTATCACCTCTGGATTTGAGCCAGTGCACAAATGGAAAGGGAAGCTTTTATGAGCATTAGAAATAGAGTCCATTTTTACCATCAGACGTTTGCTCTCTCTGCCACTCATTCAGTCAAAGGCACACACATTAACAAACCATGACTCCACTGTGTCTGACTGACCATGCCCTGAGGGATTTGCCCCCCTGCTCTCCCTCCCCAGCAGGTGGTCGCACTGTTAGATTTCCTCCTGGGCAAAGAATTTTCATCAATCACACGCAGTGTTTGTTTATGTATGTGTAGTTAGGAGAGAGACAGAGACAAGGAAAATGAAAGTTGATGTGAGATAGATTTGATAAAACTTTTACAGTCTTTTGTGTCCATTAAACTGAGGTAGAGAAGGTCTTAACTGATACAAAAATAATCATGATCATTGTTTAAAGAAAGAGGTAATGCAATGTGGTAGAAAAACATTTGAATTTCTGACATCAAGATGAGCAGGAAAAGGACATTTTGAAACTATTTTTTGTGCAACTGTTTCCTGGAACAGCAAAGCTGTGAGTGTTTCTTCATGCTCCAGTCGACACTGTAGAACAAGAGTGCAGTGATGTGAAAGGAAGGGCAGATACCAAAATGAGACATTTTAAGGCAAAAAAAAACAGATGCTGTTTCCTATTAAAGAAACACATCCCACATCCTAAGTATTGATTAATTAATGTACTGTGTCTGAGAGCTTTATTGACCTGGAAAAGCCGTGTAAATACTCTTTACTGCTCACTGTGATTTTGTGTTTCATTCGCTTAAGTTTCAGCCTTTCATGCTTGTACACATGCATGCCACAATTCACTTACAGACTGTACAAAAATTATTAGAGAGAGAGTTGTTGCAATACTATATTACTATTTGAAAGGTTTCTGGTAAGTAAATCTACTCATCAATCCGATACCACGTAAAGTATTAATACACTTTCACACCCAGATAAAACAGTAGTTTTCCCTGAAGTCAATTCTTTGCTGCTGTAAAACTGTAGCTTACACAGAAGGTCGCAGCCAATGGCAACTACTGTTCTAGATTGGCAAAGAAAAATTGATTTCCTGTAAATGTGTAATGGTAGCTGTTAGCAAAAAGTCAGCAATTTGGCAACATGTTACAATGGAAAAACCAACCAGTGAAAAGACAATGTGTACAGTATGCAAGGCTTTAATTTCGAGGGGTGACACTAGTGTTAGGAGAACTAGAGTAGACATTGTTATTTATTTCAAGATTTATTTTTTATGATTGACAGTCAAGTTAGATAATAAAAGAAAGATTCTATGGCATTCATGTACCTGTTCATGTTTTATAAAGGGTTTAACCTGAGCCA